ACACCATGGCGACTGGCGGCACACCTGCAGCTGTACCGCTTGTAATTAGGTTCAACCAGAGCCGTATAATAGAAGAGTTATGACATCTCCGTTCACTCCAATGGACCACTTTTTTACAGCAATGGCGGATCGTGGAGCCTCTCATTCGTTCCCCGGAAGTTAGCGCCAAGGCTAGCAGAGCGGTAGAGTTGCAGCATAATAACCGTTCGTGACGGACTTTTAAAGGTAAGAAGAAGTTTAAAGATTTATATTGCGGATATTATCAGTACATCTGATTCAAATTAACATGTGTATTAAAGGATGTCAGTGGATTATCCCTAAATCAGTAGATTTAGGGAACGTTTACAGATAACAGATCAAGCTAGGATACCGAAGCAAGTTAGCAACAGACGTTGAACAACCTTTTAATTGTAAATTCCATTCTCTTAATGTCATTTGGTCCAACGTTGTTGAATTAGAGAAGAGGGGCTTCTAAACGGGATTGTATGCGGGGGTGGAGGGAGTTAAATATTAGATAAATATAACTTTGGTGCGTGTAAGAGTGAGTGTTTTTAGCAGAGCCATATTGTGTCCTTGTGATTATGTTGATTATTACCTGCCTGTATAATGTTGCAGCTCAGCTGATTTTGGATTGATGGCAAAGGGAGAGGGACTTGAGTGAGTGTGAAAACACAAGGTAAGTTTAATACTACTGTTTTATATAAGTAAGCATACTAAACATGTATTCTATCACTGTATTATATAAGTAATCTTGTTAGTAACCTACTGTATGGCAGGTGGAGGGGCAGTGATGTTACAGGTGGAGGAGCAAAACTGCAAGACTGCAAACTCACAAGACAGAGAAATCGAAGTTTGTTCTCCAGAGATGAGGTTGATTTCACTTCAATTTTTTCATATTTTCTAAAGATGTGGAAATGGCACCAAAAAAAACTTGAGAGCTGTAACCAAGACAACTGTAACAACATGAGTAGACAGCCACCAAGGTTTTTCAAGTCCCTCTCTTACTCCATTTTGCCAACCCAAACTTCCAGGTACATGACGGGACACCTTGCTTGTTTTTGTTGTTTGCACTCCTCTGGCAGGTGGAGGGCAGTGATCCCTTCCCTTCTTCCCTCAATCTTTGAGACTAATGTAAGTAGAAGACATGGCACTGTAAATGTTCAAACATTTAAAATATTATACCACTTAAAAATAAGAAATATTACTTTTGTTACTAAGAGTTCATACTTATTATACCTGTGTCACCTTTCACACTATCGCTGTGATCATGAGCTATGGGCTTTGTAGATACAGGTCCCGGGGTGAATCGTGGTGCAGGGGCCCTTCTCTTTTTGACCACAGGGCGATGCACGAAGATGGTGGGTATAGCCTCTGCTCTCAGCCTAGTCTTGCCCTTTTTTGTCTTGACAAACTGGTCTGCATCAAAATGTGCCTGCGGAGTGACTTGAGGTTACTTCACACACAGAACAACTCAGTTTTGTCTGCCCACATACATATTCCATAGTGGTTGAATACACAGTATTAGGAAACACTTTATACTTACTGGACATGTTATACTCATTACATACTGTATATACAATATGACCAAGAATGTGAGACAACTTTATAGAAATTCATATCACATATGTTACTGATGCCATTTGTCATACTTTGTTAAACTCACAAATAATAAAGTTCCATAACTTCAGTTGGGAACAAAGACCACACCTTATCTCCCCAAGGCAATTTCCCATCCAATAGGTGTGCTATATAGGTGTGTATAACCCTTTCTCCTGTCTGTTTATCCCTCTTTCAGCACAAGAACCAGAGGGGGATTCAATGGAGCCTGAATACCTGCACTGAGACCCTCACCCTGCACCCTGAGTCTCAACTCTCAGTGTTTTTCAAGCCTTTCCCTGTTTTTTGTATTAAACAAAACATTAAGCTTTCCTAATGGTGTGGTTTTCGTTTTGTGAAAAAGTGCAAATGCAGTGTTTGTATATAAATCACATATTTTTTTGCTGTTGGTCGTGAAATTGCTCCTGCTTCCTCCGCTCTGTGTCAGTGGGGAAGCTGTACATTCATACTCCTTTCTCTGAGCGATTGGAGCATCCCCAGGCAGCACAGCAAACCATGGTGGCGACTAGGAGGCAGCACAGCACACCAGGACAACACCGAGGAAAAGGCACAGACAAACTGCATGATATGCTATTCAATGTTTATTGAATTCCATGTATTTGCAATGGATGTTCCTAAAACAACACATTTAACATCATCATCATCATGCTGCTGCTGCTAGTCCTTTGATAGTCTCCTGTCCTTTCTGAAAGCCATAAAGATGACATTAGTCATTTAGATAACTTGTGTCCTCAATTACCATGGGATTATTGAAACTACCATGAATTAAAAAAAATGGTAGACATTAATCTAATCTGAATTTTAAAGCATTACTTTAGATCCCCTCCCTCTAAATATATCAATAAACATTAGAAAGTGATGCTCCTGACTACCATACAGGTTTAAGAAGATAATATTGGTTTTAAAGAATTCAAAGCTATAAATAAACAGCAACAGGCTCTTTAACCAAGGCACTGTTAGCCTAACATGTAAACTAGTTGTTCACACTAATCCTAATATTATCACTTAATATTAGCAAATTCTATTTTATTTTTTAAAACATATTGATGTAAATACATACACATATCGATTTGTTGTATACATTTTGCAAATCAAAACCTTTATTCACTAATAATTACCAAAAATCGTAGTTCTATCTCCTGTTATCAATGCATTCACATTGCCCGCCATGAACTTCCGGGGAACGATCCTCTTCTACATGAACCACGTGACGATAACCGTTTTTGGACTTCCGTTGTCGTAACTCTTCTATTATATGGCTCTGGGTTCAACTATAAAAACTTCGAACAAAACGCCGGCGGCACCAACAAAAGGAGCGCACACTGCAAAGTCTGCAATATTAAAATCAAGGATGCTGGTGCAACAACGTCAAATTTCATCAGGCACTTGAAAACTCACCCGGAGAGGTCAGTCACATTAACGCATATGGACGGTTAGCAAACATGTTTAGCTCAGCATCAGCTATATAATGTTAAATTAGCTTGCTACTAGCTTTGTAACTGAATATTTGAAAAGATGAGTGAATGTTTGCTTGTCACACTTGTTTGCGTTGAGTGGCGTTGACATCCAACTCTTGACATGACATAAAAAAGGTCGGTAACGTTAATCATTACGTTCCGCTGCCATCTACTGGCTAACGTTAAACGTAGAAAAATACATAGTAACATACATAAATACATCTGTCGGTATATAGACAGGTTACAGGTTTATTGTTGACCACGTAACGTTAATGTTACAGGTTTATCAGGTTACCATTACACTGGGTTTGAGTGAGGATAGAGGAATATGTTTATTTATAGTAGACTTAAAAGATGTAATTAGAGACCCAGTGTAATTAAACAATACGGTTGCAGAGGTCAAATTTTAACATTTTTGTCCACTGGCCAAATGGCTAGCCTAGTGAATGTTGACATTTTACCAGCCACTCAATAGATTGCCATTGTTATTTTTGGCTGGTGCGTGCAACATACAGTACCAGCCACTTGCATGATTTACCAGCATTTGGCTGGTAAATGGTGTTAATGGTAGATATCTCTTTTGGAACAGGTCATGTTTTAATATCACCAGTTCAGTATATTTCAGATAATATTGCAGCAATAGTTTTTTAGTTGCAAATGGCACAGAACAAATGTTTACTTTTAAGTACTTTTAACACAGTTTCCCTGCGGGGGATTAATAAAGTATTTGTGATACTGATTTCTGATTCTGAAGTGTTTTGCTTATAAGTTGTTTGCATTTAGCTAAAGTGTGATGTTTTTCCTCATATTGCATTGCAATAGCCTGTTTAAAGTGATCATATAACAAACAACTAATCAGTACTGATACTGTATGCTAATAGATATAGGAGTGATAATAATACAGTAAATGCTTTGAATTTCTTAGATATAGCTGTGCAGTATTCTTAACAGACTGGATAGCAGCAGACAATATAAGGCTTATTACAACCAGAAGAGACTTGAGACTTGACTTGGACTCGTGACCAAAGACTTGAGACTTGATCAAGTCTCACCCCACAAAGACTTGAGACTTGACTTGGACTCGTGACCAAAGACTTGAGACTGGACTTGGACTTGCAAAAAAAGACTTGTGAACATCTCTGGTGTGCACAGACAGGGCTGCTGTTAACGTCGGTCTGTACAACGGAATTATGCCAACACTACGCCAACCCGCTGCGGAGGGAGACTCCTCCCCTTCACTGGAGAACTGCGCTAAAACAGCTGATCACAACGTTCACACTCTGTGGTCACGAAGTACTCCACTAGCGCCCCCCCCCCCCCCTGTCGACTTTCCTGAAGTACTCCCCCGTTGATAGAAATCAACACGTAATGAATTAAGACCCCACGGTTTGATGATTGATAGGTGTGTGGGCTGTCTTTCATTTTGACACACAGAAAAATGTTATAATAAACATACATACTGTACACAGTTAAATGGATATATCTGCCTTCTTTCATTTATCTTTCCATTCCCACAACAATATACATAAATAAATGGCATATTTTGGACATAGTTCGAATGGTGATTAATCATGATTAATTAATTTTTAAACTGTGATTAATCTGATTAAAAATGTTAATCGTTTGACAGCCCTAATATATATAAATTCCACCCTCCAGGCCTATAAGATCAAACCCTGCAGCATCTTATCTCTCTTGCTCTCAACTTTCTGGCTGTCTCCATTCAGGAGGTAAAACTTTTTTTTCTTTGAGATGGAAAACTACTGCTCAAGGCTTTTGAAGTGCACTCAAGATTAATTTGAACTGGAACAAGAAATTCTATTGCTGTAGGCGGCAGTTTGTGACATAGAGCAGTTTTTCCCTGACAACAAATATTCATATATTTTCCTTACAGGCACCTTAGAGGGACACATTTCAACGTTTAATAACAGAGTTTGGTGACGCTGCTGTTTGCTGCTTGTGTGCAGTTGGACAATGATGCGATTGACTCTTAATAAATATGACATAATCATTTCAAATTTGTTCTAGCTTCTGTTTGGAATATAATATATTGACACCATTTCCAAGTGTAAATCTGTACGGCTGGCGTGGATTGGTTGTGTGTTGTGTGCTGCTGGTGTCTATGTGTAGGTGCCACTTACCTTGTACAATGAGGTAGACCTGTGAGGTCTTGGGCTGCTGCTTCGTCTGTATGGAGCAGGTGTACGACCCCTCATCATAAACATCCACCTATACACAATCACAAATACAATATTGTTTTCATTAGTTTGAAAATATCTTATCATATGCCTGGCAGATTATCTTATCCTCATTTATCTTCCTACATGTTACTTTTTCAAGATCCTACTCTATAATTTTTATTTTGACAAACATTCACAATATTCTCGAAATAAATATTTATGATTCTTCAGTGAAACAACGTTATACAGGAAAGTAGTCGAATTATCTCAATCAACTTTACAATATAATATGTTTTGATTATTATTAATTAATTCAACTTTAAGAAGTCAAAGCTTATAGACATGAGTAATGAATGATCATCATTACATAACAGATACGATCAGCATTTCAGCAGACCTCCCAGCATGGACAGTTTAGATGAGGTAGTTAACCCTTTATGAAAACATGTATTCTTTTTTAATAAGACTTGCTGAACTGATAATCAATGAAAACGATAACTTTAACATTCTGGGAGGATAATCTCATTTACTGTCTAGCAGAGGGTGCATACTGATACCAGTCTAACATTAGTTTATTTTCAAATGATTATTTATTGTTGTTAAAGCACAAAAAAGGGTTAAAATTAATAGATGAACATACAAAAAACAGATATGCTTATGAAGGTTATGTTTAATAATTTTTAAATGTATTCCTATAAGGAGGAGAAACAAATGGTTCTTTCCCATCTTTAAATGCAGCTGTTATTACATCTAACGATGAAATCAAAGAATAAAAAAACAAAAACATTTTGGTCCGGTTTCTAGGTCAGTGTTACCTTCTGTATGCGCAGGCTGTACTCGAGCTGTCCTTTAGTCACCAGATCTACTCTGGGGTCCAGAGACCACTTGTCCTGGCCGGCATAGATGATGTTGGATCGATTGAGCCAGGCCACTTTGGACACTTTGTCATCCACATAACACCTGCAGGAACAAGAAGAACAAGTAGTGTTAAGGGAAGTTAAGTGAAATAAAAGCCAGGTTTACTTAAAAAAAGAAAGAAAATTACGTGACATCCTTCATTTCATAATATGTAAACTCAAAATCAAAGAGGATGTATAATTGTGTAGGAACGTATCTGCATCACAGTTCAGCTATGTTGTGGTTTAAACTGCTGAGTGTATTCCCTCAGTTAAGGTTAGTTAAGGTTTACAGACAACTTGGCGCACCTCTCATTCAGAGGTCTCAAAACAAGAGCTATGTCTTAACCTGTGTCTCTCTTCCTTCTTTCTCTCTCTGATAAATACATCTCCTTTAACAGTCAGCATATTCCTGTGGATGAGGAAGGACACCAGTATGCTGTTGTTTACTCCTTGTTGCAGACAGTCAGAACATTACTCCAAGAAAGCTCAAGCTAAGACAACTCGCACAGGAGGCATGGTAGCCGGGCGTCTGCCTAATGAATAAATGTAAATGTGAGAAGACGTCGGAATCAATGAGAAGGGATATCAGCCGTAATGCTAGCCGACAGTGGATGCGCCTCACATGCAAATTCTGGTGACTCCGGTAGACCAGGCTGTGCACATGGCTGTGGAGTGTGTTGGGCCACAATGGAGCAGATTTGGGAGGCAGAGGAGTGAGGCTGTCTTTGGCAGGTGACCCCGGGTGATGCACACAAGTGGTGGTGCAGTCACCCCTGCCTGTTACCCAGTGGGAGCTGGATGTCAGGTTTGTTGAAGGCTTGTACTCACAGCTTGAATCCCTGTTGATGTTCCTTCCCTTTGTGTGGAGCCCAGATAACTCACTGTATTTATTGACTCGCTTTGACATCTACACTCTACTTTCTTCCCTCAGAAGTGAACAGCTTTAAAGGGATTTCCCTTTGGTTTCAGATATCTTCAAAGCTTTAATTAAAATACTTTATAGCTATATGCATCCTAATCTTATGCAGACACATTTTCCTATATTGATGGAGAGCTAGTCTTTATGAACAACAATAAAATAACGATAACAGTTTGGACTCCAATGGACACATCGGAAATACTAAAATGTAGCCTGACTTACATTTTTTAAATCCATATACAGCATTTCATTAAACAAGTTCTTAGATTCAACCTCTGCAAATCACCCATGAAGGGTAGGCCCCTTTGGTGTAATCCAGAATGTGTCCTTGTATTCAAGTCAAAACATCGCTGCTTTTAAAGAAACAAACAACATATTTTTACCAACATTGAAAATGAGTACAAATATACACAGAACATGATGCTAAAATTGTCCTGCTAGATTCACAGGGACCTGAAGGAGAGCGGAACTTTGCCAGGCTTCCATTTGTTAATATTTATTTTGGATTCAACACCATGTAGCCTGTCATCCTCGCCAACAAACTGGTCACTCAAACACCCTAAAAACCAACACAAGCTCACTACAAGGGTGTTTTCCTATCCCTCCTCCTGTTCATGCTCTATGGTGACTGTGAAAGCATCCATCCAAACTGCCAACTCATTAAATGTTCTGACTACACAGCGCTTCTCTCAGGCTCTGAGCAGGAACACGGTTCTTCTCTATGATTTTAACGTTAAATGGTGCAACAATACAATGCTGGATTTCAATTTCACTCAGAGGTGGTTGGTGGTTGATTTCAGGATGCAGTCCAGACAAGGAGTTGGATGGTGTGAATATCTTGGAATGATCTTTGACATTTGAGCAAAACACAGAAGCCTTATCAAGAAAGCAAACCTGCATCCACATGCTTTCAAGAACTGAATTCCAAAAACCCTTCTACAGTTCTTCAGCGAGTACATTCCGTGTTTCTCCTTCACATGTTGGTTGCCATCACTCACTGTCATAACCAGAAACCGTCTCCATACCACAATTAACACCTGTTCCTAAAAAATCACTGGAGTGCAGATTACGAAGCCTCATTACTAGCTACCACTGCGTGTGCCTCACATGTTTTAATGTTGTGAGACTATGTGTGTCATCACAGTGTTAATTTGGCTCTCTGTTGAAAGTTGCTGTCACCTCAACAGCGCGCAAGATTCACAGTCACGGAACTTAACAGGTTTGTAGTTCAGATCAAAATGTAGAGCCAGTGCAAAGGTGAGCATGGCAGTGGTGTATATAAGTAAACGGAAAGGTAATGAGGAAAGGACCTACAATTTATGCCATGGCCTGAATTGGTATTGCGGGTGGCCTCTAGGTCTGTGAGCAGCAGGGAAAAGCCCATGACATCATGTAGGATAACATAACACCCATCATCTCCACCCACAGATCCAGATGCCTTCTTTCGTGGTGTAGCCTACGCAGTTTCTCTAGAAATGGGCACAGAGCTCTGTTCATTCCATAAGACCTCCGCTGGACTAAGGATCTCAAGAACAATAATTAGCTCTATCTGGATCTGCCATGTAGTCTTTTCCCCTACTTATTATTTAATTTATCATTATTGTTTTTAATAACGACCTACTTACTTTTTAATAATAATTGTACTATCAGCTCAACACCATACAGCTATTTGCTTATAATTGTCTATAACTATTACTCAAGCCTAAAATGGGTTCGCTTTCTTGGATTTATGACGTTTATTGTATAAGGTGAATTGGAAGAGCCAGATGACCGACATGTATTCAGTCCAGTCTATGACACTGTCCTGCAGTGTGGGACAAGGGGACAACATTGCATTTGTATAAACTTTCCCTCTAAACCAGTGTTTGCATATTTTCTTTATTGTAAGATCCCTCTTGTACTAAAAGGGTTTTAACATTACCAGATTGTTTGTTATATAATTGTACGATGAAGCTGTTTTTAATTAGATTCATAACAAATAAATTGCTCACTTTGTGTAAAAGTTCTAATGCTGGGATTGATCATTCCACAACTCATTAGCGACAAAGCCCTACATTTGTGAAACACAAAGTGACAAGTTTAACAGCTTTTAGGGGATGGCAGTGAATCACTAAACTGTCCAGGCTGACTGTACGGCTGCATCTTGTTGGTTTTCAATGAGCTTGCTTCCTTTCTCCCCTTATTATCTCCTGTCTCCCACCGTGAAGTAAATGGGAGGAGGTTAAAAAACGAAAGCACGTAAGTGAAGGACAGAGAGAGGAGACGTGAACAGAATCATGACACCAGTTTCCTTTGGTTGTCTCTTTCACAAACATACATTATACTTAATAAAGCATTTTGATCGTTTACATTTCTTAATATTATGTATTAAACAGAATTGCGTTGCTAGGCAACAGCATGGGTCCATTCTTACTTCCTGTCAGCTGATGCATTCGCTGACATCAGCAAATGGAACCTTCAGATTGATGACATCATCTTTGCCTTGATGCTTTAGAAGTTTGCAGGTCTCAGCTGTGACGGTGAATTCATCAGAGCATCAGAGCATCAGTCAGAAGGCAGAAGGAACTGTTCCAGCTAGTGTCAGATCATTGCAGAAATAGGTTTTGTAGCAAGCTAACATTAGGTAGACTTGCACGTCTATTTTAACGAGATAATCTAAGTGAACTCCATTTTTGTGGCTTTAATTCAGTTGAACAATTATATTCAGTTTGCTTAACAACAGGTCATTTCATCACCGCAGTAGAGATGGAGATGAACAATAGAGATGAGATGGAAGTCAAGCTCGAGATTCTGCAAAAAGAAAATCAGGAAATCAAGTTGTTGCTGGAGCAGGAAAGGACTTTAAGGAATAAGCTTGAGATTGAAGGCGCTAAGAAGAAAGCATATACAGAGAATGCAGCTGAGCTATCTGAGCAAAATTTGAACGTGAAAGCCCAGGAAATTGAGCACAACGTCTTGCCCGTCAACAATGAGGACCTGAACATGAAATACGGAATGCTCCAGAGGTCACACAAGAAGGTCGAAGCAGAGATGGCTGCCTTGAGAAAGGCAAACGCAGGACTCAAACAACTGAAAGAATCCTGTGTTGAAGAGAACGCTGTAGAGATGGCTTCTTTGCGTGAGAGAAACCAGGAACTCCAACAACAGAAGGAGCGCTGTGTGGTGGAGAAGGATGCAGCAATAGCTGCCTTGCTGAAGGAAAACAAAACACTGAAACAAGAGAAAGAGTGTTGTGTTGAGGAGAAAGATGCAAAGACGGACGCCTTGCAAAAGACTAACCAAGAACTCAAACAAAAGGAGTGTTGTCTTGAGGAGAAATCTGTAGAGATAGCTGCTTTGCGTGAGAGAAACCAGGAACTCCATTTACAAAAGGAACGTTATGTTGAGAAGAAAACTGTCAAGATAGCTGCTTTGCGTGAGAGAATCCAGGAACTCCTACAACAGAAGGAGCGCTGTGTGGTGGAGAAGGATGCAGCAATAGCTGCCTTGCTGAAGGAAAACAAAACACTCAAACAACAAAAGGAGCGTTGTCTTGAGGAGAAATTTGTAGAGATGGCTGCTTTGTGTGAGAGAAACCAGGAACTCCATTTACAAAAGGAACGTTATGTTGAGAAGAAAACTGTCAAGATAGCTGCTTTGCGTGAGAGAATCCAGGAACTCCTACAACAGAAGGAGCGCTGTGTGGTGGAGAAGGATGCAGCAATAGCTGCCTTGCTGAAGGAAAACAAAACACTCAAACAACAAAAGGAGCGTTGTCTTGAGGAGAAATCTGTAGATATAGCTGCTTTGTGTGAGAGAAACCAGGAACTCCATTTACAAAAGGAACGTTATGTTGAGAAGAAAACTGTCAAGATAGCTGCTTTGTGTGAGAGAAACCAGGAACTCTATTTACAAAAGGAACGTTATGTTGAGGAGAAAACTGTCAAGATAGCTGCTTTGTGTGAGAGAAACCAGGAACTCCATTTACAAAAGGAACGTTATGTTGAGGAGAAAACTGTCAAGATAGCTGCTTTGTGTGAGAGAAACCAGGAACTCAAACAACTGAAGGAGCATTGTGTTGAGGAGGAGGCAAAGATGGCCGCCTTGCTGAAGGAAAACCAAACACTGAAACAAGAGAAGGAACGTTCTGTTGAGGAGAAGGTGGACAAGAAGGAAAATGAGGTGAAGGTGGAACCAGGAGTGAGGCACGATGTGAAAATGAATGCCCTGGAAATTGAGCAGAAAGTTTTGCGCGGAAACTATGAGGAACTGAACATGAAATATGAAAAGCTCCTCAAGATGCACGAGAAGGACAAAGCAGAGATGGCCACCTTGCAAAAGGCAAACCAGGAATTCGAACAACAAAAGGAACGCTGTGTTGAGGAGAAGGATGCAGAGATAGCTGCCTTGCAAAAGACAAACCAGGAACTCAAACAAGAGAAGTTGCGTTGTGTGGAGGTGAAAAATGCAGAGATAGTAGTTTTGCATGAGAGAAACCACGAACTGGAAGAACAGAAGGAACGCTTTGTTGAGGAGAAGGATGCAGAGATGGCAACTTTGCATGAGAGAAATCACGAACTGGAACAACAGAAGGAACGTTTTGTTGAGGAGAAGGATGCAGAGATAGTCACTTTGCATGAGAGAAATCACGAACTGGAACAACAGAAGGAACGTTTTGTTGAGGAGAAGGATGCAGAGATAGTCACTTTGCATGAGAGAAATCACGAACTGGAACAACAGAAGGAACGCTTTTTTGATGAGAAGGATTCAGAGATAATGACTTTGCTTGAGAGAATCCGTGAACTCCAACAAGTGAAAGAACGTTGTGTTCAGGAGATAGCCGCCTTGAAAACACCACGGTGGAGAAGATTCATTAATTTCCTTTCTAGTATCGTCCCAGATGTCCCCGACGACTACGAAGAAGGCAGCCTTGACAGTCAAACTTTAGAAAATATGATAAACAACAACAGAAATTAGTAAGACATAAAAACATTTCCAGAACAGACTAAAGCTCAAAATGAGTGAGCAATAACATATAATAACATTCAGTCAGGATATATATTTAAACAGTTAACATTTATTAGATCAATTTATTAAACATCAACAAAGGTTCCAGAAGATACTTAAGCGGCTAGAGTATCGTTAGTATAGTATAGTAGTAGTAATAGTAGTAGTAGTAGTAATATTATAGTTTTTTTTAGGCTAGAGTCTAGCCTCTAGGGGCAAAACAATTACCTTCATTTTAAAATTCCTTCGCTTCTAGCACTCCTAAAAAACAGGAAAAGGGTAGCAAAATAAAGATCTGGTTAAATTTAAAAGGTCACCCAGAACATACTGTAGGCGATTTCAAGCCATTACAGTTAAAAAAAAAACCCTGATCCATTACGCATACAAATAAATCCAGTAGAGACTTAAGCGGCTAGAGTATCGTTAGTATAGTATAGTAGTATACCCTAGATAACAACCTGTCCTTCACTGCAAACATAGCTGCCACAACCCGTTGCTGCAGATACACGCTTTACAACATCAGGAGGATACGTCCCCAGCTGACACAGAAAGCGACGCAGGTTCTGGTCCAGGCTCTCGTCATCTCACGCCTAGACTACTGCAACTCCCTCCTGGCTGGTCTACCTGCATGTGCCATCCGACCTCTGCAGCTCATCCAGAATGCAGCGGCTCGTCTGGTCTTCAACCTTCCTACATTTTCCCACACCACTCCGCTCCTCCGCTCCCTTCACTGGCTTCCGGTAACTCCTAGAATCCACTTCAAGACACTGGTACTTGCTTACCATGCTGCGAATGGATCTGGCCCTTCGTACATCCAGGACATGGTTAAACCGTACACGCCAGCGCGTGCACTACGCTCTGCATCAGCCAAACGACTCGCTGCGCCCTCGCTGCGAGGGGGACCCAAGTTCCCATCGGCAAAAACATGTGGGTTTGCTGTCCTGGCTCCAGGATGGTGGAATGAGCTCCCCATTGACATCAGGATAGCAGATAGCTTGCACATCTTCCGGCGCAGACTGAAAACTCATCTCTTTCGACTCCACTTCGAGCGATAGAACTATTAACAAAGCACTTATATACTAATAAAGGACTGGCTTATCTAAAGCCAGTTGAGTAGCACTTGAAATGTTTTGGCTCTATGAAACCTGATGTACTTATATGATTCTGTTTTCTTCAAGGTTGTGTCTTCCTGGTCGAATGTGTAAGTCGCTTTGGATAAAAGCGTCAGCTAAATGCAATGTAATGTAATGTAGTAGTAATAGTAGTAGTAGTAGTAGTAATATTATAGTTTTTTTTAGGCTAGAGTCTAGCCTCTAGGGGCAAAACAATTACCTTCATTTTAAAATTCCTTCGCTTCTAGCACTCCTAAAAAACAGGAAAAGGGTAGCAAAATAAAGATCTGGTTAAATTTAAAAGGTCACCCAGAACATACTGTAGGCAATTTCAAGCCATTACAGTTAAAAAAAAAAACCCTGACCATTACGCATACAAATAAATCCAGTAGACACTTAAGCGGCTAGAGTATTGTTAGTATAGTAGTAGTAATAGTAGTAGTAGTAGTAGTAGTAGTAATAGTATAGATTTTTTTAGGCTAAAGTCTAGCCTCTAGGGGCAAAACAATTACCTTCATTTTAAAATTCCTTCGCTTCTAGCACTCCTAAAAAACAGGAAAAGGGTAGCAAAATAAAGATCTGGTTAAATTTAAAAGGTCACCCAGAACATACTGTAGGCGATTTCAAGCCATTACAGTTAAAAAAAA